CTCTCAAAACAAAAATTTTTTTTCCTACCTTCTTCAAAAGTGAGATTTTTTTATTTTTTTTTTTTTTTTTTTTTTTTTTCACTGAATTGTGTCAGTATTGGTTTTATTCTCTCAACATCTTTAAATTCATTATGGAAGAAATTTCTCTTTGGGTTTATTATTATTAGGAGCCATGACAAGGTAAGCATCATTTACCTACAGCTCTGAAAGGTGACCCTGTTTTGATTACAAGGAAAGTAGTCCAAAATTATTTCTCCCCACAACCTTTTTCAGGGCTGTCACTTGTCTCAGAAAGACAATAGGAATTGGAATGGTAGAAGAATCTTATAAAAGTATTCCTTTATAAGTAAAATATACTTGGGCTTCATCCAGTTCCTCATCAGAGATCATCAAGCTCAGATGTTGCAAGGCTACAAAAATCCTTAAGTCTAAGATAGTAGTATGCCCTTTCTCAGTTTCCAGAACTCCTTAGAAAACAATCAAATTGAGTTTAAGTATCACAACTTTATGAGCAAAAACGTTGCCTACGCGGATATACAAAAGTAAACTGGTTTAAATCCAGGAATAGATACCTTAAAAGCAAGCCACTTCTAAAAAATATTTATAAAGATACTCAATTATTGAATTATCTATTACAAAGCACTAATTATAAAGATACTACAATAGCTGAAAAGGAAAAACCCAGCCTGGTTTAACACACTTGTCAGCTTCAGTTAGCTGCACTCATTCCTTGGGATAGTTCTTAGCTTGTGCCAGTCTTTGGAAACTCTCTGTTCTGCAAAACAAGAGGGCAAGTATCTATAAACCACAAATTGCAACAAAGTACACAGAAGTCAGCACTCCTTTAATTTTTTAAGCATGTTCTCTTAATAAAAAGGCTCAAAGGTGGTTTGTTGGGCAGATTTAATAAATGCTTTGTTTTACAAATATGGCTCATTCGTAGGCCCGTGCCAGACTAAGACACAACTGATTTCTGAGCCTGTATCAGTTACACATCAATTACAGTTATGCCTGCAGCATATAATAAAACTCCTTTGTCTGACCTGTCAAAAATAATAATTTTTAAGTCTTTTTAATAGGTCTTATTTGGGAAATGTAAAAAGACAGCCCAAACAAATTGATAGGAAAAGAAAAGAAAAGGCTATAAAGGAACCTAGAGTAATTAGAGTCTATTTGGAGGTTTTCCAAAAAATTAATTCCTATAAACATTCCAATTGTTGCCTAGGACTTATCTATTCACTTCAATCAAAATGAGTTCACACCCTCTTTCGAGCCCTAGCCACCCAGTAATAATGCTATGAGTAATCTTTGCAGCACACAGTAAATCCCGTGCTGATAAAGAAACTTTAGCCTTGACCTTTGCAACAGAGAGAACGGACAACTACATAAGGCAAACAAAAAAGTCGACAAGTCATGCTAATAATACTATTCATTTGCAGCGAATCCCTGAAGGTTCACACATCCTTGAGAGGGGAGATTTTGATTTAAAGAGGTCATTTTGGGAAACTTGTGACAAAACCCAAGTCCCTGTAGCAAATAATTTTGTGAAGGCAACTGAAGAAAAGGTTGACCATTTCCACACAGTATAATTTTCATTTTAATATGAGGAACGACCACTCAACCGAACCCGACCCCCAGTAGCCCAAGGTTAGTAACAAAGCCTACCCAGCCTGGAGGTCATCCGATAGATTTTAAAATTGATCTTTTGTACATGATCAGATTACTGAAACGTGCACAGCACTATTAAGGATTGCTCAACAAAATAACTGCTGCATTCCTCTATCTCAGGAAAGGTCGTTTCTTGGTTAAGGAATAACTAACAGGAGGATGCTAGATTTCTGAAGACATATGAAAACAGACTTCCTTTTTTGAGAGCAAGTGTTTTACACGCATTTATTAAGCCTCAAGCCTCTAGAGAAATGTGTAAGTAATACATTCAGTTTGTAGATGCAGGAGAAAGTGAGGTCAATCAGTTATCAGCTGGATTTTCAAAACATTCCTTAATTTTTAATGCAAAATTTGAAACAGCTAGAGACGCTCTTTTTCTGAAGACTTGAAAATGTTTCAGTGGCAATTACATCAACACAATTCTCCGTCTGGGAAAGTCAGGTCCCCACACACCTCAAGTTGGCCATCTGTCAAAATATGAAATACATACAGAGTGTGCATTTCTGACTTTTTCTGTACACATTCATTCCCAGGTCCCATGGGAAATCAGAAGGAGAGGTGGGTGCATCACTTAGGAGCTCCAAAGCCTGCTTCTCCTCTTTAACGCAGGGACAATTGAAAGCAGTATGCCAGATATTTGCCATTTAACTGATCTGACCGGCAGATAGTTTTGCAGATAGACAGACATAGTATGTATACCTCTGGCCTGTGAGGACCACCTTGAGGAAACAGGCCAAATATGCGTAACTGTGACACAGGCTAATTCACCCATTAAACTATTCATTTACACCTACCCATCTCCCAGACTTGGTTTCTAGCAGAGGGGATGGAAGTGGGAGAACATGCGTATTTCCAAAAGTCATCGGTTGTTTTTCCAAATGTCACCCCCTGCCAGAGCACGGCTGAGTCATGACAAGTGAGGACGTGACAGCACAGAGTTCTGTTTCTAAAATTCTTTCAAAGTTGTTGACAGTGGATTTGGAGACAGAAGCAGAACCTGGGCATAAATTAACCCCCAGGCTTAGAAGAACCATAACTAAAACTAACCTTTTCCTCAAGCTGATATTTAAGATTCCTCTGATGGAGCTGCAGAAGCCAAGACAATTTAGCGGCAGCCTCTCCCAAGGGTATTACATGCTAGATAGGCCCCTGTTCCAAATCCTCACTACTCCAGCCATGTTTTTGAGATACGCTGTCTCACTGCTTGCAGGCAAACCTTTAGTGCAGTTAATGGGCCTCCACTTTTCCCTCTTCTATTAAATCACCCCATATAAATTTACTGTGCTTCCTGCTTAGATTAGCAATGGGTATTTGTGAAAATGCAAATGAAGTATTCTTCGGTCTGGCACGCTGGTTTCTCACACTAGGCTCACCATCTTGTCTGGGACGTCAACGCAATTGCCAACCGATTCCTCCCTTGCCAGGGGGCACGATTTGCATGATGTGTTCTCTCATGGTTGCACTATGAACATTTTTTAAACATGTATTAGGAAGTATAAACTATGCAGCATTTGATTGGTTGCCATGTTTTAGAGAAACTATGAATAACATTCTTAATACAGCTCTGGCTGACTAAGCTGCTGAGAATCTCAATTTCCTGCCATTTTTAGCAGCTTTAAAGGCTCAAATCAAGATAGGTATTTGGCAGCTAAACAATACACATGTTTCTGGAGGAGGCAGATATTGATACAAACAAAAACACCCCACCACACACAGCCTGTTTGATTTTAAGTAACTTATTAAAGCTCCAGTCCCGCTGTCTGTAGTCTTTCAGCTGATGACAACAGACAGTGCATATTGCACCTGATGATCTCCTTGCTTTTCCATTTACCACTACTTGGGTTTGAGAAGTTTAAATTATCAGAGATCAGGTAAAGAATACTTCTACTGACCACTGACACACAGTTCAGCTTTACATGAAAATGCTATGATAAGTTGCATTTAAACAAAGCTCTAGAAGAGCTGTGTTTAACTGAATTTTTCTCATTTCTGTCACCCTTAAGGCCACTTTTTTTTTCCAGAAAACAGATCACGATGGACTGTAGATGTCCAGTAACGGGCTTTGCCTTTTCCTGCACCCCAGTTGTTTTGTTTCATGCATACATTTTTTCATTTCCTCCCCTTGCAAGCAAGTAATAAATTAAGTAGTCACAACCTTAACCCTATCAATTATTACAGGTCTTTTCAGTTTCACAGTAGTTTAACAAATTGATGCCAGTTCTGACACAAATTGGTCCCTACCCTTAGCCACCTTTCCAAGTACTTTTGATGCATGTAATGCCCCACTGTCAAGACACTCCCAGAACTACACCTCTCCAGCATGTTCCCACTCCCCTTCTTACACAATGAATACAAGCCCATGATGAGAAAATAATTGTGAAAATTAATTTCATTCCAAAATGGCAAACTGTGCCCCGCTCAAATGATTTTGTGGATTTAAATTTCTCCTGTTCCATAATAGCATATGAGAAGAAAGGAAACAGTTGACAGACCCATTAATTGCTAACACATTGTTTAGAGCAGGAAGCAAATGCAGTAAGCACCAGGTTTTCAAAGCATCTTCCCAGCATGGTAAAATCAGCGTTATTTTATCAATGATGGCAATTACATTGCAAAAAGAATATATATCATATTTTTTTAAAACTGAAAGCCCTCTATCAAGGCCTACGTTTCCCAGTTGTTAGCCTCATATGTAATTTATGAAACCTGACCTTCCTAATTCAAAAATCTTACCTGGCATCTCCTTTTGAAAGGTTGGTGTTTACAGGATGAAGAATAACCTTGTTTGCATCCACATCCACCACACATTTTGTATGCAGATCAAGCTCTATAAAGAAATGAGAAAGTGTCAAGTGCTGCTCCCAAAGCACTGGGATTATATACACCATTACTTCCTCCAGACACCAAATTTATTCATGCAGTCTGACAGCCACCCATCAGCTAGAGAATAGAAACAGGACTATTGCCAAATTCCACTCCTAGAGATATTCTGATGGGATGGATCCTGTCCAGCTTTAAAGCATGCACTCTTTTCAAAACAAGAAAGAGCACTTGGGTTTTACTGAAGGACAATCAGCATATACAAGGCAGTATGAAATTTCTTCTGGGGAAAGAACCATTAGGCACGGTACCACTTTGACAGCTCTTCTTACTGCTCTCTCAATGCCTCACATGCTCCAAGGGAAAGCTGCCCCTACCATCTGCAGCACATTTTCCCCGGCCACTGTTGTGATACCGCAGCATGCCATGCCAGCTGTCAGTCCTGGGGCACCTGCTCGGAGAAATTCAAGTCCCATCAAAAATAATTTAGGTGCGAGGGTGTAGAAAAGGGCTTATCCCTCCCCACAGCTGGCTCCCAGTCAGCTGGAAAGCCCGACTCTTCCAAATGACGCTAAGCAATGGGATATATACTATGAGTAATAAGAATATTTGGAATGTATGAGACTTCTCAGCCGTAGAGGCGGGGAAAACAAAATAAAAGCTTCAGATAACACTGACAACCGTCCAAGGTATCCACCCAGTGACAAATGGAGTTAGATATAAAAAAAGCACACAGCCACTTGCAATCAAAGTCACTGCCTACAGACATAGAGGCCTGGACATAAACAAGTCCAGTCCTGTGTTCTTACACTCTGATGCTGAACCTGGCAAGTGCACCCGAGTGCCGATACCGATAAACACGAGACGCTAATCACACCCAGCAGGCACTCTGCAACGCCCTCGCACACCGTGATGACGAGGGGCTACGCTGAATAACGAGGTTCAACACCTCAGCTGAATCACCGAAATATGCTCATGTCTAATCATGTTAATTATAATCCTCATCCTCCTTCATCTCTGCTCTTTCCTTCTTTGTCACCTGTACTTGCTCTTTCACCTTACAGCACCTTCTAAACTCAGACTGCAAATCTCTCAGGCAAAGACCGCAGATCTTAATTATTGTACGGCACCTTGCACACTTCTTGCTGCTGTTAAGTAACCTAATAAGAGGAAGTTTCTTTCATAGACATTTTTTTGAAAGAAACGTTACAGCCTTTTGCTTCTTGAAACACAACAAAGAAAGCCAAAGCTCAAGATTACTGGCCATAGCAGGCAGTCACATGAAACTGCAATCCTGAACAAAACGACTCCTCTGTTATTAAACTGTGCTTTTGTAGAAGGAAGAGACAGACAAGTTTCAGAAGCTAGTGCTTATTTTAATTTCTCTCCACACCCCGAAAGCCAATTTACCTACCATTAATATGCAATCCATGCTTGCTTAGATGTAATTATAGTCTTCATATATCCCATATCCGACAAGCCACTTTTATCTGGGTCTGGCTGGTCAGGGATTGACATTCTGTATTGCAGCGACCTGCTTTTCCTCAGCTACTGAAGAAAGTTTTTATACGCTACCTTCCTTATGCACAGCATAAGGTATGAGCACACTGTATATAAGCAGTATGGTCTCTATCATGTTTTTTTAATCCATCTCTTGAGAGAGAATGCTGATGGCAGGGTTTGCACCCATGACTGCCCACTGAGCTCAAGGTCTTGCTAGTGTTCATTAAATCTCTGTTTGTGAAATACCTTTAAGAAAGCACACAGACAGGATACAAGAGTTCCTGAAGGTCATATGTCTTCCCAGGAAAAGAGGAAAGATTCAAAGCCAATTTGTCACGTACAACACACCTTGTCTGATGATCGTCATCACAAAGGTAACGTTAAAATCCCTCACCTAGGTGTCCTGCAGGCAGGGCACAGCATGGTTTCGGAAGACGTGGCGAGCCAACCTAACAGCTATTGCCAAACAGGGAAGTCTCAGTCCTTCCTCCTGGCTACCTGTGCCTCCTGCTCACCAGACTCCTCTGGAAGTCACTTTAAGTTCACCGTCAGTGACTTTAAGTCACTTCAACGGCAGAAAACTACCCAACATGAAAAACAGATGTATTCAGACACACAGAAAATTACATCAGCCCAGTGAAAGGTCTGAAGAATGTCAAAGGCCATGCAAACAGGTGGGTAGACCTGTACAGAGGAGAAGAGAGGCGGCAGAAGAGCGAGACCTTCTCCCAGCAGAGATGAACTGCTACATCAGCTCACGGTGTCCCGTGAAATAAACCCCTAAGAAACAGTACATTCAGCCTCTAAGCTGGGTTATGTATCCAGACAGCCTTAAGGCTACTTATCCCAGTTACCTGGGCAAAAGACTCCCATGGCAACTCTCCTTTCAGCTGGAGAAACAGTTTAAATTCTGTTTTAATAGCACATCATCTACTTCCTACAAATTCTGGCTCCATTAAAAAGCATGTTCTTTGACTGATTTTTGATTTCTTTAATGCTTCCGGTAGGGCGAGAGATGAATCTTGTATTAGCCACTACTGAAAATCACATCATCATAATTTCCACCTCATTAAGTTTTTAATGTTACTAAAGCAGGTTAGCCCTATAGACAAATTACCTTCCTCCTCTTTTGGATATGATCACACATGGACTCCACCCTTACTTTTACTAGTTTCAGTGTCTCCTAGGTAAGCAGTGTACTTGCTGCCCCTAAACAACAAGCAAAATTGGGATGCATCAAGAGAAGATGATAAGCACGCACATCCAAAACCACCGATTAGTTCATCTCGTAGTAAGGACTCTTCTGTGAAGGCTTGGTATTATTATTTCTTTCAACTATGTAGTATTTTTTTTTTTGAGGCAGCACGAAATTTAGAAGTTAGAAGGTGACAGAAGTGGCTCACTGTCAAACTTTGGAGATTTATCACAAATCTTGTAGCTCAACAAGATTTAAAATCGCACCTATTATTATTGCTAACCTGTTTCGACGTTCAGTCATTACCAAGCAAACACAATCAACTACTCATTTGCTTCTTCAAATCAAGAAACTAATCAGCTAATTGCTTTTTGAAAAATTAAACCTCAAACTCTCAACATCTCAAGAAACATTTATTGCACGCAATGAAAGCCTCTTCCCTAGCTTCGGAGTAAGAGAGCTGTGACGCCCATAATAAAAGGGTAACACGTATCTTAGTCACTTTTGCACATTTACATTTCATAGTTGCAGAAGCGTTAAGCAAAGCTGGGCTGAGTGTAAGAGTAATTGCTAAGTCATGTGCGTCCAAGCTACTCACAGAGTACTTGTGAAACTGGAAGCTAGGGCTTGAAGGAGGCCGTTCTCCTTCCCATTTCCCTTGATTTTTCAACTCCTCACAGAAGTTTTCTAAGACAATAAAAACTGGGATTCAAGCAACGAAGATCATAGCTAAAACCACACGCATGTGTAAATGCTAAATGACTACGCCTTTGATAAACCTTATGGGTGTTGTAAAAAGAATTCACACCACCCATATACGCTTTGGGCTTCTTCACTAGCCTAAGAAATTTGGTGCGTTTCAAACAGGGTGGAAAAGTCAGTAAGCAAGAGAGAGCAAGAAAAACCAGGAGCAGCATACCACCACATGCAACGGTGGATTCAGCAGGCACCGCTGCATTCCCGACAACAGGTAGGAGTTTACATTCCCTCTGTAATAGCGGTCACACATCTGGTAATCATAAACTCAACAGAGCAGATTTTCCACAACAGTGTTAGGAAACGCTAGCAAAGGTGGAACTTTAAAATGTAGTAAACAGGTTTGGGGCAGAGACAAAGAGCGTACGTGAATCCTGGAGGAAGAAGAGAGTAGTATTTTGGAGAACATTGCACGTTTGCAACTCTGGGAAACCTCCACCTTCATTTACGGATCAGTTAGGGAGCTGTCTTCATAGATTAACTGCAACTAATGACAGTAGTGGTTGGATAACGATGCACCCAGCTCACTCTAGTTGGGGTGCAGAATCAAACCCAGCTGCATCAGGTGGCGTAACGAAAACATCAGAACTGCCCTGCAGTGATACCGGAGCTTTTTCAGCCACTACCCTACAAAGTCATCCCACCTTTAAGGTTACTGTATTTCAGACTGAAACAAATGATCCTAATAGATAGCTTTTACAGGGCGGTTTGAAATCATCTTAAAATGAAAGATGATGCAGTAAGCAAGCTTGTCTGCAGTTTATTAAACTAGCGGTTGGGACCATGGCATCGTAACGGCTTTTAGTACAACAGCCACAGTAGCTGAAAAGTCTGTTACCGCTTACTTGACCTTCCATATTTTCTTCTTTATATACTCCATTTTTTCACATTGTATAAGAGGAACTAAGGGAAAGCATTTCCCAATTCATCACGAGCCTTTATTTCCATATAAATGTTTCCATCAGATTTCAATTTAAGAAATTAGTTTCTGATGGTTGACAGTTTTCCAGCCCTTTCAAATACCATTTGATCCTAAACCCCACTGAAACAAAGATGTGAACCTGGTGTTATAACACAGGTCGAATAAAATTTGTGACAGATTCCTCCTGGTCCCACTGCCAGGTTTAGGGCAGCTGCACCTGCACCGACGGACCCCTTGGAGACAGGACATTAAGCTCGATAGCGGCACCAGGAACCAGCACGGCTGCTCTGGTAGAGTTTCAGAAAAGCTAACTGAAGTATAAAAAATAAAATGTGAAAGGTTTAAAGGGCATGTACTAAGCTCATAAGCCAAAACTGTCCCCAAATACAAAAGCTCATAATAATCTCCTGTAAAGACAGACGATACAAATTTTATATTTTAAATTGCCGGTAGATTTTCAGGAGATTAACATTCCCTTGAAGGTTAGAACTGGAATGTTGTGGCCTGAGCCTTCAGCCGCACTGAGTAAGAAATTACCATTGGTTTCTTGTACCTTTCTTGGTCTAAAAAGACAAATGGCAATAACACCATAGTAACTTTAAAATATTTAAAAGTTTATTTATCACACAGA